ATTTGTTCCAGATTTGAACTTATTACTTTTTATGTTTTAGTACATTATTTTGAAATCCAAAAAAATTTGTATCGTCCATAAAATTTTTAATTTTTTTAATAATTACATAATCTCCTTATGGTTTCAAGTTATATACAAGACATGAAAATAATATTTGTAAATAAACCTGAACAATAAATGAGTATTTTTTATTTTTAAGTAGGATTTCATGTTTATATATGTACATAAAAAAACATTTCAATTTTGTTTCATAAATGTACTTTTATTTCAAGTTTATGTTTATGCTTCATTGCAGCCATACTTTTATTTATTGTGCCGAATAAATTATGAGGTTAGCAGCATGAACTTTGTACATTTGCCGTAAACTATCATGCCTGTTGGTGGTCACTCTCGTTCAGTCCAGCGCAGGCACAGTTCAACATTACTGTAGATATGATAGTAAGAAAGCTTTTCGGTACTTGAATATCATTTCTTTGAACTTTCAAACAAGTTTATTTCAACATATGTCCATGTATGTGGTTTCAGAATAGAGACAAAACCAATTGCCACTACTAACAAATGTATGTAACAGTTTATAGTACAGGTGGTTTCAATAAACACCGCCTGAGCCTGACCCCTCGTTACTTGATACATCCTGTTAGAAGAGATTACCAAACGATACAGACACCATAAATTACAAAGAAAATTACTTTACAGCATTTAAAAGATTAGTCCTGGTCACATTCCTCTCATTACAGGCAAGATTTATGTTGGAATGCGAAACTTCAATGTATTGAGACCCCCAACTGTGAGAATGTCATAGCTTCCTTGTATTATTTAGTATTTAGCCTGTTTCACAACCAACATATGGGTTTTATTGTTGTCACTACTGGGTTTGAACCATTTGCAAAATATCAGAATAAACTATATATATATGTGAGTTACACTGTTTTAATTCTAATGCAATAACAACAGAAGTGTGGGGTGGGTGGTGCTTATTATAGTAACTGCCATTTTATGTAGAGGTTGTATTTAGTACTGGCCAATAGGGCTTTTCAATAAGGGTTGGAAAAGTTGCTTCTGGAAAAAACTGCATGGGATATACGTGACTTTTATTTTTCTTATATAGTAGCTTAAGTCATGCTGCATGGTATATCTGTTTATATTAATCATTATATTGAAAAATTAACTCAAAATATATATATATTTGTTAGGAAAGAAGTTGATCCACGATTATTGGGGTTAAGAGTTACCGAGTGGCGAGTGCAAAGTCTTCACATGAATTAGACTTACGACTTTGAACTGAAAGAGTTTGTGATTTTTTATATTCCTTGGAATTTAAATTTGTAGTTTTAAGCTCAATAATTTAGCATAATTTTATATTTAGTTCATAATAATAATAATATGATTCAGTATTTAGAATGAAAAACTTGTGTGATTTGTACGTAATACTATTAGTACCATAAAATAATTTTATATTTTTCCTTTTTACAGTCTTTGCTTTGTAGTAAGATGATGAAACGTTGTTCTCTGGATTTTACAATATGAATATGATAAGGAAAGCACGAATCCTAGTCGAAAGTGTCAATTTCAGTACCAATTATTCCAATTGCTGTATCTCCCATTTGACAAATCATAGGGCCTAAAAGTTATACAACTGAAGTTTAACACGCCCAGATGCAGTTTTATAAAGAAAACAGACTAGAAAAAGGTTTAAATACCAATCATAGATGGCAGAACCAGTGCTGAGGTGAAAGGAAATATCTTAAAAAAACTTTTGAAAAAAATATTTCTTCTTAGAGGGCGCTTATTTACAGTCTAAAACGTATTTTAGGAATTTTTTCATTAAATTCCTCTTTAAACTTCATTAAAGAATACAATTTTGTACAAATAATTGAATGTTATGCTACTATTTATAAAAATAAAATCAGAAATCCATTAAAAGATAAGTTCTCTATCATTTTTTCAATTCACAAATGCACACTTGCATTGCCTACTAAGAAAGTTAGTACCGGTAGTCATCGGGTTAAAATATCTATTTGTGTAGTAGTTTAAGTTGTTGAAAACTGACTTACTAGCAAGAGCTAGGGGTTAACCTGTAACTTTCCATATGGGCATCATTTTCGGCACATGTCATGAGGTTTTACTTAGTTAAATTCAAAATATAATTCAAATACTTTATTTTCTTATTATATAAACAAATTTGGCATTAAAATTTAGCTAATTATCCATATTTTAATGTTATATAAGTATTAAGCTCTTGATTTTATATAGCACTATTTAAAAAATCCCCTTGTATGAAAATTGTAACATTTGTTTTGTAGCTGTTCCCTTATCTCTAATTTATTTACTCCCCCTTCTAAAAAGTATGAAATTGAACTTAGATTATTCCTTATAATGTTGTCATCACTCAGGCAAAGCATAATTGTTATAGCCTTCAATCTTATTTGGTTACAGAGCCATAAACTAGTTAAATCAGACCCCTTTTGCTGCACCCACCTGTCTTATCCTCTCTTTCACAGGTTGCCATTAGTTCTCTCTAACAATTTCATATTGTTTATAACCAATAGAAAGCCAAAGGTGTAACCTATCATTTGATGTATTATATTATGTTTTCTTTATGAAGAATTGTCTATTTCAATTTCTGCAGGTGTAAAGTTGGATACTCTCCTCCTATTGAGGACTGGATGAAAAATTTCCAATGCCAGCAGGTTTTGGACTGGAGATGAACAACCACCTGGGCCCTCCACCTTCCTACTAACCTCCAGATGTTGGTTCCTGGTGGATCTTGTATTGATTTTGTTGGGGTTCGTGCCTTTGCAGGCAAGTTCTTGGTATGGAAGCTCCTCTTCCCTGCTGGTACATGTTCTTGAGGAGAAAGGTGGAGGACTCTCTTCCTACCACAGAACTGATGTACAATTCCAGATGCCACTAAGTGTTGGTTGAGGTTGAACTCCACTTTATGGTCTGTCATGCCAAGCCACTCAATATTGAGGGGTCCCTTTATTTCGTGTTACTTTTCTTGGGGTCTCTTCTTATGTTTCTACCCTTTTTATGAGAAATTACTAACAGGTGATGAGTATACTTGGCTCAGAAGTCGTGTGGTTTCCTACAGGTGTGTTGTTTTTAGTTCCTTCTCAAAAGACATGGTTTTCTTTAGATGCTTCCTAAAGAGGGATCATCTCACCAGCTCTCCACCTGTTCAGTGTGGAATTCTAGCTTTTTGTGAGAGGAGGTAAGATGTTGTATTGGAAGATAACATTTTCCTAAACTGAAAATGTATTTTCCATAGATACTTACCTCCACTCACATTTCCCACTTGTCTTCATATGTGGTTTGTGTGATCTGACCAATCTCGAAATGGTTAACAGCTGCAAGATTAGAGAGAGTGCTAGTTAAGATAGTGGTAGTGTCACACCCCTATTGGTGGAGGGTTGCTGCATAATCAGTTGCATGTCAGTATGCAGATAACTCACGTTTACAGGCAAGTGGGAGTACTAAGGTTAGTGGCAAACAAAAATTTGTGCTGATAGAGGGCAGTATAAGTCATAAAAGTATTTTGTGAGAGGAGGAGGTAAGTATCTATCGGAACTACATTTTCAGTTTAGGAAAATGTTAACTTCTTTACACAGTTAATTTGTTGAAACAATTTGCTTTTCTTAATACTGTATTTTAAATCTTTTTAATCAGAATTCAAGGGTATTCAGACTTTTGTTTTTATTTGAAAGGATTATTATGAAAGGATGACAAACTTTTTTCATCATGAATAAAAGCTCTGTGTTCTGTATTGCAGATAGTGCATTTTATCATTCTAATACTATGGTTTAACTGATTAAAGTTAAAAAAATATATATATATACATATATGCAGCAACCCTGTTTAATATAGTGAATGTAGTTGTATACATTTTTACTAAGTAAGTGAAAGATCTATTGTTAAAAGTAAAAAGTTGGTATAAGTACACAGGTAAGATAAAATATAATTTCATGGTTTATGGCATACAGGTATGCAGTCAAAATTATCCCCTGCTTGGAAATTTAACTGTGTTTGAGGTTTTGCTTGTTCTGTAGGTACAACTTAATAAGTAGAGACATTTGTATTCTGTATGAATAAACACATTATTAATATGCTAGCTTTTAAAGTATACATGCAGTATTTCAGCTGCTCGATGACTAAGGGCTTGTATTGGTTGATAATAGGATTTTTTTTTAATTATAGAGATCATATCAAGTGTGAAATTTCAAATTCTTAAATTGTTATATTTTCCTCAGTTCTAATATATTACCTCAGTTGTTGGGAAGTGTGGATGGTACTTGTGTATTCTACCGGAAGTTCTCAAACTTTCCTAACACACGATCTGCCTGATTAGCCAGGCAATTTTTCTGGGATTCATGCATAATTTAAACAGTGACTAATTGTACTGTTACAAATAGTTTTAAAATAATAATGTGTTTTCCTCCAACTTGTTCTGCAACCCACAGTTGGGGAACTGCTGTATTGTACAAGAGAAAAAATGTGTCTAAAACTACCTGTGTAGTTGAATGGCAGGAATGTTAACATTTGTGAAAATAAATCAGTTTTTTTTGGTTACTTATTATGAAATGTAAACATTTTAAATCTTACTCAGTTGTTCATTTTGTTTTGACAACTAATATAGTCACTAAGTGCTCAAAATCATACTTGGCTAGTTGCTAAGTCACTTTGTAAATAATCCTTATGAAACAGTAATAATAAGAGAATAAATAAAAACTAAAACACTGGTCATATTAGTATTTCTTTTTCAGTCTAGATTTTGTGGTTGCATTTTAAAACTTCTGCTTTTGAGTCCTTTAAGGAATTCTAGTTTTTATGAACAGTATAATAACTATTAATATGAAGATATAGATATGAAAGCTCTAAAATTTTGCACTTTGACCTCATCATTTTTCCAGTTCCAGTTACTGATAAATTACCCAGGAGAATGTATAGGAAATGACAACTATAAGAAATTGTGTGTATTTCTGTGAATGACCATTCAAATGTTCTTAATAATTTTCAAATTTATGCAACTAACCTTGAGGTCCTCCAAAACACCCGATCTCTCATTCGGGGTACAATGTGAAACTTTTGAAACTAGGCATAGAACATTTTAAACATTTCCTTATTTGTCTATATACCAACTTCGCGTAAGTTATAAAGATGCTCCAGAATCCTTTAAAACCATTTCATTCACCATATGGAGGGTTAAGTTTGAAAATTTCCAAAATCTGAATTTAAATTATTGTTTTGAATGATTACTAAAATGTTAATATCAAACTTATTAGTAAATCTGTTCAGTCAAACCTTAGAGCCCCCAAAACCTCTTGACCCTTCACCATTTTTAGGACCCTGTCACTGCTTGTAAACATTGTTTTTTGTGTGTTGAGGGACAAATGTAAAACTTAAAGGTAATTTTGAAAAAAGGCAATTTTTGGACTTCAAAAATCAAGTAAATATAGATACATATGTACCTACAATTGATACTCTGTATGTAGTTTGTATGTATATTTGGAGGGCTGATGCATGAGTTTTTGGTTCCCTAGGCAAACCTTCAAGCTGTGTGCCCTCCCCCTCCCAAATATAACAAAATATACAATTATCCAAATCCAAATGTATGATTTTATTGTCCTGAATCAAAATAATAACTGTAAGAATCTATTGTTATACAGCTTTTAATGGCTCTGGATAGATAGTACCAGCAATGCATTTTTATTAAACTGTGTAATAAAGATCGCAGGGTAAAATTGAGAATCGTAACTTTACTTTTCCAAAAAATACATGTAAAATCTGAAATGACAAATATGATGCATGGCAACTGTCTGCCCAGATGGTTTTATTATTATTGTCAGGACATTATCATTTTCACCCCCAAAATTGGTGTTGATTCATAGTTCATACACAAATTTTGCCAGCCCCCTATATTTGCTGCCCTAGACAAATGCCTAGTTAGCCTAGTGATTGCTATGGCTCTATATGTATTAACTCATCAAGATAATAATTTCATGACACTGTAAAACTTATTATCATAATTAGTTTCCTTTTTTGTTTGAAATTCACTGCTTTGGTAAATGTATTAACAAAGAGTAGTTTCTATATTTGGAATGTCAGTCTTTGCTCTAAAAATGTCAGTGCTAGTTATATTTCTTTAGCATATAGTTATAGTCTTTAATATTTGCACAAGCTTTTTATTTGATTTAGCTCTAATGCTTTAATACACATACCTAAAATTTACTATGTTCTTATTCATTTTTCAGGTATAAAACTCCTAAACATTTTGATTATGAAGACCTTGAGAGAAAATATTGGAAGAACTTAACATACAATTCCCCTATCTATGGAGCAGATGTGTCAGGATCATTGTATGATGAAAATGTAGAAGTAAGGTTAATGGAACAGTATTATTACTTTTGCATATATATTTGAGGTAATATTTCAACATCATTCCTGTTAATTTTTTGTGAAAAGCTTAAATTATCAAAGCTGTTATATTTTGATAGTATCACTTGTAATTTAAGTTGCTTTTGTATTTATTAATGCACATCAAGTACAAAAGATATAGTTTGATAAAAATTTTTTTGAAGTAATTCTAATGGTAAGTTGCAAAAAATATAAACAATTGGTAATTTATTTATTTTTTACATGGTAGTTTGTATAATGTTTCATTGGTTTTCAAAAGATAAATTATTGTGATGTCATTATATAGAAAAAAAAATTACTTGAAAGTTAGGTATGTTTTTTCCAATATTCCAGTGAATATTTCTAGTAAGCAGGGATTTACTTAAGTACATTTTCTATGATAATAGGTTATTTTTTAATTTCTGTAAATTAATAATTTTAGAGAGAGCATTTTTGTTCTCTATCAGCTCGTTTTATTGGGATTATTTTGAACAGATGCATTTTGTTGCATTTATGATAAATATTACTTTCATTAAAACATTCTTGTGGGGGCTTGGCTCTTGTTGTAAGGTTTACTTATAACAACAGTGTGAGGTTTGTTGTTTTTAAAGCAGCTTTAAAAGAGCATAGGTAACTTAATAATACAGTGTAAGCGTCAATACATGTTCTTCTGGTACTCTCTTTTTGGTACTCTCAATTGTGTTCAACCTCAAAACTTGCAGAAGTAGATTTTATTTATATATATACGATTCAATTTGTTTACTTTACTAAGATATAACACATAACATAGACTATTTAGGATTTGTTTTGACAGTAACTTGTCATTAAAAATTCTATTATTTTGTTATCATATTGCTTGAAGTTTTTGAAAAGAAACAGAAAAAATCTCACTTATTAATTTTATATTTTTTTTCTGTAGGAATTCAATATTAATCATCTTAACACAATATTGGACCTTGTAGGAGAGGATTATGGAATTCGTATTGAAGGTGTTAACACTGCTTATCTTTACTTTGGAATGTGGAAAACTACTTTTGCATGGCACACAGAAGACATGGAGTTATACAGTATTAACTATCTTCATTTTGGTGCTCCAAAATCATGGTATGCTATACCACCAGAGCATGGTCGACGACTTGAAAGGTTAGCAGCAGGTAAATAAATTAATACTTTTTGCAGTGGTTGGCCTATGTGCCATTTTAATAATTGGAATAATATTTATTTGAGGAGAAAAAGGTCTTAAACATTTTATGTCAAGTTTATAAATACCACCAGTGGCATTTTATATATTGACTCTGTATACAAGTTTGGTCAGTTTGACTGACTTTATAACTGTGAAACTATACATACTATAACTTAATGTACAAAGCGTATCTCCATGAAATTTGAAAAGCTATTAGTAAACAATGCAAGTAAGTTGAACACACACACACACACAATTTGATTTTTTCATAAAGTACTTTTTACTAGAAATTTGTCAGTGAATTTACAAAAAGTTTTTAGCAAGTCGGTCTGAGTGAAAGGTGATTTTCATGCTAAAAATAGAAATATTGTTTTTTATCTTACTTTATTATTTCATTTGCTTAGCGTCTAGAATCTCCTAAATGCACATCAAAGGTTGCTTTGGTAAAAATTTATTTTCTTTAGTATAACACTAAATATAGTGAAGTCATCAATGTACAATGAAATGAAAAATTGAAGTAAACTGTATAATATTTTTTTTATTTGGAATGACTACAGAATTTATCGTATAATTCAAAGTTATCTAACAGCTTAAACTTGTACCATTTTTACTTCTGCTTTTTTTAATTTTATGGTTTTATTGCTACAATTTGGACATGTTGCTGCTTTGGTAGCTTAATTTCTGCCTACAAAAGCCCCTCATTATGATAATTTAACATATAGCAGAGAAGGTAATAATCTGTAGGCAAACAATGATTTATAAGCACAAGGAAGTTTTATTGATGGTGAAACATACTACATGTTTCAACAAACATTGTTGTGTCTTCTTCAGAAGAAGACAGACCAATGGTCTGTCGAAACATGTAGTATGTTTCACCATCAATAAAACTTTTTCTTATACTTGTAAATTATTGTACGCCTACTGATTATTATATCAGCATAATGTGCTTCATTACTCAAGTAGTAGAGAAAGTAATTGTTCGTACTTGTGAAGTCCACGAAAGGGGAAATAGCACAGATTAGAAGCGTCATTGTTTGCTGTATGCTCTAGTATTTTAAACAGTTGTGTAGAACAAAGATAAGTTTCATGTATATTATAGAAATATTAGCATTATAAATCTATCATTAAGATGAGATTTGGAATACATATAAGTTTTTAGTGATTTTTGAACATAGATTTTCTATTGGACATAAAAATATCTTAGGTTATATCTTTCACAGGTTTGATAGATTTTGTATTTTCAAAGATAATTCTAATTATTACTGTACCAATTAATCACATTCTCCAGAAATTGAGAAGATGTTAAAACTAAATAGTCTGACACCAATATTTAATTTATAAAATGACATTCATTTAGCAGAGATGAAAGTCTTCCAGATATATCCGGAAATCCGGATATTTCTAAAAAATCCTGAAAACCTCCGGTTTTTTTTCCGGAGAAACACATTTTTTAAAATTATTTATCGGATTTTGGTGTTCCATGCCATAGATAAGCGTTTATGCAATCGCGCGGTTTGTTTACATTCGGCGACAGGGCGCCGCCATTTTGTAGTCTCGCAATGCTGGCGTGTACGAGACCTTGTATGCTTATAATGCAAACTTCGTGTCATGTGAACAAGATTTTATCTCAAACGTGCTT